GTGGGGCGAGAAGGGCGACTGCGCCGGGTTACTCTGCTCCCCCTGACTGCTGGACACTCCTGACGTGCTGACCCCCGGACTCAGCGCGCCCTCCGTGCCTGTGGGGAGATCATCGATGGAGCCCGACAGATCCTGCACAGGAGAACCAGACGATGTGTTATTAATGGTGCTTGTTAAGCGTCACTATTACTGCTGCTCATTCTGAGCAAATCTGAACACGCTCCCGAGTGCTTGTCCCACAGCGCTTGTGCTACAGACATGAATGAGAGCTCAAATCACGTGATCTACTGAGGAGAGGCACACTAGTAGTTTTTAAGGAAGCCCTGAGGGGGACATAGTGATGGAAAAAAAATATATATGAAATGAGAAGAATTCGATTTCAATGCTTTTGCATTCACCCGCTGAACTTTTGAAGTTTTGCTGGTGATGGAAATACACATTTTCCTCCCACTGCATATTTCTATGCATTCACAAAGCATAGCGTACGCAAAAATAACTCGGGAGAAAAAAAGTTTTGCAAGCGATCGCACAAACACTGAAACAATTTTTCATAGGGGCTCCATAAAACAAACAAACAAATTCAAAGGTTGGATGATGAAACGAGCAAATACTGAACAGACTTTCATTGAAGCAGTAACCTGAACCATGTCTACAAACCAAAAGATTGTATAGAATTGAGAATAGGCTCTTCTGAATTTTGTAAGCAAGCAACATGCTAACAGCCACAATGCAACACGCTAAAACCCCTAGCGACTTTACATCAACCAGGCATGAGCACGTTATGCATGTACTTTTGGTATATTGGGACAAGCATCTTGTTTGTATTGTAGACAGTGTAATAGTTACATATTAGCATAATAAAGCACATCAAGCTAAAACCCTCACTTAGAAGTTTGGCATCACTATTTAATCTTCACCCAAAATTCAATATATACAGCTATGGAAAAAATTCCACTTGAAACGTCTCGGTTTCTCTGGATTTATGATTTATAGGTATGTGTTTTAGTAAAACGTAATTTTTGTTTTATTCAGTAAACTACTGATGACATTTCTTCCAAATTTTAAATAATTGAATAATAATTAAATTATTGATTTTTCTTTTATGCCAAAAATCATTAGGATATTAAGTGAAGATCATGTTCCATGAAGATATTTTGTAAATTTCCTACTGTAAATATATCCAAACTTAATTTTTCATTAGTAATATGCATTGCTAAGAACTTTATTTGGACAACTTTAAAGATGATTTTCTCAATATTTAGATTTTTTTTGCACCCTCAGATTCCAGATTTTCAAATAGTTGTATCTCGGCCAAATATTGTCCTATCCTAACAAACCATACATCAATGGAAAGCTTATTTATTCAGCTTTCAGATGATGTATAAATCTCAATTTTGAAAAATTTACCCTTATGACTGGTTTTGTTGTCAATATTATATAAACCAATATTAACATTTTACTCAAACCCATACCTAGTAAATCCAATTTAAGTGGTCTCTTAATTTGTTCCATAGCTGCATATGTATATTTTCTATCATAATTTCCGTTCATCTATTGAAAGTCCACACAAGCTAAATTTTCAAGCCTCAAAAGGCACAAAAAGATAAAAGTAATTATATGAATCGAGCGGTTTAATGCAGGTCTTCTGAGGAGAAATGTAAACATTAGCTCTAACGTGCTTTCATGATGTGTGAGGAAAACACTTTCTGATTTTCAAGCAAGCACGTTTGAGCTTGTTTACCATATTTGATGAGCTCTATGTGCACTGATCAACGTTTATGTGAAAAAAAATCCTAATTTAATCTGTAAATATATATACAAAAGACTTAAACGCCTTGATTTGTGCGTTACACTTTAGGTTTTGTGAACTTTCAAAAAACAACTTCAACTATTTTAAAGATGAACGAAAGTCTTTTAGGTTTATTAACCACACGAGTGTGTAGTGCTGGGCGGTATGACCAAAAATTTATATCACGGTATTTGACATACACCGGTATTGTGGTATTTTAAAAATTCATATCAAAACAAAAATAAACACCGGTATTCGGTATGAACCGGTATACCGCCCAGCACTACGAGTGTGTTTAAACAATGACGATTAAAATTTTTGGGTGCACTATACCTTCAAAGCCATCCAAGTAAACTCACTGGTAGAGCAAACCAATTGGCTAGTCAGTTGTTGGACGACTAGCTGACAAAAACAACATAGCATTGTTGCATCAGGTTTAGCACACGCAAACACTGCTCACAATCTCTCTATAAAATAAATCCAGTTGACTGAGTGACAAGGCAGAGGCGAACATCTGTAACAAATACAACATGACACGTATGAAAACAGAAGAACTAGGTGAACATATCTAGCATGCTATGACAACATGAGCAGCACACTTTGGAGGAAAAAAAGTATAGTAAACTACTATAAGATCAGACAGTGTTCGCTCAATATGCATGAAGCAAACATGGAAATTTCGTGCTACCATGTGTCTTTGATTATTGATGGTTTTGCCATTACAGAACACTGGCTGCCTGAAAACAAGCCTGAGCAAAATGAGCAGCGAGTCCATATGGGGTGTGATACTGAAATCAATCTGGCAGTCAGTCATAAAGCCTCCCAGCAGAGGAGTGTGAGTGTGTGTGTGTGGGGATATTTACACACTCGACTCGCGTCACGTGGAGCGCATGTGTTCAGCGAAAATTTGCAAGCTCATCTGCCAGTCAGATCTGAGAGGGAAAGGGAAAAAAAAGTGGGAGTGGAACAAGACACACAAACACACATACTGAGAGGCCGACTGGAGCATGGCCAAGTATTCCCATAGAAATCTCACACTGGCTGCAGCCCCAAAGTCGGCGGTTTTGCACTTGAAACGGCGCCCACTGCTATATTTGGGCTGTGACCTGCTGGAGGAACCCCAGAGGGAGAGACAGGAGGAGGACGCTGATTCAGACTCCTGTTTTAACTGCCACACACACACGCTCAGAGTCTGTATGACCCAGCTCCGTTCTCCTAACAGGAAACAATCCTCGACAGATTCGTGTTTATGTTGGCATGTGTGCGTTTAACAGGAGATTTCGGTGTATGTGACCCATGAGGAAGGTGTTTATTACCCGAGAGTGTGGTATAAACCCAGAGTCTTTCTGTCTGAGTGTGTGTGTGTGTGTGTGTGTGTGTGTGTGTGAGAGAGAGTGAGACCACAACATGATGCAATGGCACTTGGGCACGTCGCGTCTTTTGCATGCTCAGCTAGTTATTTTAAAAGTAGACACGACAAGCGCACTCAAAGAGAGGTCGAAAGCTCGGGCAAGATGTACTAACAGCTGATCATGGCTGTACAAGGTTTTTTTATTATTATTTCTCATCTCCATAAATATGTCAAGTAGTAGAGTTAAAGCAAGGACTGGAAATCCATTATCCTTAGCTGAAACTTCTTCGTCTTCATGGAGAACGCGGCTCATATACACCACTGGAACACAAGCTCCCGAACGCTTCTGGAAAGAGGAGAAAGTGACGCAGCCGGCGTTTTCCATGCGTTTCACACGCGACATGTGAACGGCCTCATAATCGATTGTGGATGGTTTCATCATCTTGAGCGGATAAATGAAGTATAAGAGGATATTTTGATCAAATAAATTAATACATTTATTGAATTAAACTCTTTAAATTCAATAACATTCATAAATTACACCTTTGCCAATTTTCAACAAGCTTTGTATTGTTACAATGTCAGTAGTACATGTAAATGACAGCAGTTTATGTAAATTAACACTTATTTGTTGGCAAAAGTCTGCCAGATGAAGCTAAATGTTTGTCTCACTTTTGTTGACTATTATATCTTGGTGCATGTAACATGGAGAAAGAGGAAGCATTGTTCATTTACATCTACTACTGACATAGCAACGATACAAAGCTGGCAGAAAATCAGCAAAATTGTCTTGTAAATGTAAGAGCTAGAATGCTAGATTATTGTGACCTTAATATTTAATCTGAAGAGCTCAAACAAACTGAGAAAACTGAGACATCCAATTAAACACAAAACACGGTGAGAGAGTTTCACTGATAAATGCAAGGGAAAAAATCCCCTTTGAAGCCGAGGCTCATCACACTGACTCTTTTACTGTGGCTTCACTCCGCTATCATAAGACCAGTCATCTGACCGACAGCTGAGGGTGTATCTTAACCCCTTCTGTCCTGAAAGGAGCGTCACATGAACCTGTCTGACCCCGTGCTCTCTAGAGGTCAGGAGCATACACTGTCTGACCAGAGCGATAATCACACTGCAGCAGGCGTTCACAGACAGACCCCGCGGACTTCCCTCTGTCTCTGGCTGAGCTTCAAAACAAATGCACAAATGTGATTCTTAAAGCTGGAATACACAACATGACTTTTGCCCAGATTCACAGTCTGGAAAAGTTTGGTTTAGGGCTGCACGATAAATCTCCATCACCTGTGGGCTTTGATTACAGAACCGGCTTTACTGATAAGATGCGCGTTAAATATCACATGCGATTTATCGTGCAGCCCTAGTTTTGTTGCAAAAACCCAGAATCAAGGCCCTGATATACTAAAAAAGTTTGAAACACGTGAGCAGCAGCAGTATACTGCTAGCGAACATCCCGACGCCGCCCACTCTGATGAAAGCGAGGTTTATATGAATATATAAATGTGCTGCACGCTTTCCTCTCAGTAACAAAATAAAGAACAAAAATGGAGAAAACACCAAGAATTGTTTTAATAAAAATCTGATCACAGCAACACAAGCTCTGCAAATTAGCACTCCCATGAAATCACGTCTCGTGTATTTACATGGCACTTTATTCAATATATAAAGCAGCAATCAGCAGTATTAAACATGAAAACAGTGTCAGTGTCTCATTTAATCAGAAACACAACTTAATTTGCTACTATAAAGCGGCTCTCCACTGCGTTCATCTCACCTCGACAGGACTCAGAACTCAGAACCCAGAGAAGAGTTCTTCGAGAAAGAAGGCAGAGCCTCAGCGCACACCTCCTATGACGTAATCGTCATGGACCAATGGCAGTACGAAGGTGTTTTGCAGCCGGAACGAACTTTTGTGATAGGGCTGAAATGACTAGTCAACATTATCAACAACGTCGAAAAAAAAAAAAAATTGTC